TATTCTCATTGTGATAGTAACAGTTTCCTTCATATACCTTGTTTCTATGATACCAGAAAGCCTTTTTAAACCCACCTTTGTAAACCCCTGCTGTTTTGAAATTGCACTGAATTTCAAGCCTAGGTCTATTTCAGGACAAGAGAGTCTGTACAAATTAGATCTATCTTGGTACGTATAAACAACGAGGAGTCCTTGTGGCACCTTAGAGACTAACAAATTTATTTGGGCATAAGCTTTCGTGGGCTATAACCCACTTCTTGTCATCTGTTGGGAATGGGCCACATCCACCCTAACTGAATTGGCCTTGTTAGCACTGACCCCTCCACTTGGTAAGGCAACTCCCATCTTTTCATGTGCTGTATATTTATACCTGCTAACTGTATTTTCCACTCCATGCATCTGAAGTGGGTTATAGCCTATGAAAGCTTATGCCCAAATAAATTTGTTAGTCTCTAAGGTGCCACAAGGACTCCTCATTGTTTATACTGATACAGACTAACACGGCTACCCTGCTGAAACTTGGTACGTATGCGGTTCCAATCACTGCAACATGTGATCTTCTTCTAAGTACTGTATTCTAGCCTATAGGAAACAGAGCTTGATTTATTTGTAGATTTTTACAGAGAGAGAGCGAGAGAGAGAGAGCGTTAACATGCAAGTGAATAGGAGTGTGCGAGAATGGGAGTTAGAGTGGCATGAGAAAAACTGAGGGAAAGCTAAGTTAAATACATTAGTTTTGCATTTACTTCTGGAAGTAGTGAGGAATTTCTTTTCTCTTGAGAGAATTCCACAATGTAGATGTAGCACCAGGAAAAAAAAGTCTCCCACTTACGTTTGATAAGCCTACCCTTTTAGTTTACGATTTCACTGTTCCCTTTTTCATTGCAGTCATTCATACTTGTTCAAAAGGAGTTGCAAAGTGGGTGTAAACAGCAACTATTCTGATTTAGTAGAATTTTGTGCCCACTTTCTACAGGCCAAAAGGACCACCAAGGTGTAAGCCAGTGGAGAACCAGTATTTTTATTAGCCATGTGACAAATTATGTCCAATTGTCCCTATGTGGATATGCCTGAAGTTCCTGGCAATAGGCAGGCACTCTCTCAGCTGCCGCCATCTTGGTGATTGGCACCTGACTTGAACCTGGTACTCTTACTTCTACCTTGCAGAGGTGTGAGAAGTAGGCATCAGGTGCTTGAGACACTCAACTCAATCTAGAGATTTTAAAGCAGTAACGAGCTTTTCCAGCAAAACCTTGCAGAACTTTATTTGTTGGAGATACTTGTTCAGTTTTCAAAGATCTAGACCTGGATGCAGGAGATACCATGCCAGTCAAAGAGCACTCCCTCTCTAGGTTCCGAAAAGGCCTCTAGCCATTACTCAGCACGACAAACCTATTGCGAAGGCCCCACTGGTACAGATAAAAGATCCAACTGCCAGTGATTTGAAAAGGCCCTATTCACTCTATGGGCCCCTGGGATCCAAGGAGGTCACATGCACTGATGTATGATTGGCAGCAACTCAACTCCAATCCATCAGACCTATGATTGCTATTAGACTCAGACTTTAATGCCAGAAGGAACCATCATGATAATTTAGTCTGACCTCCTGCACATTGCAGGCCACAGAACTTCAACCACCTACTCCTGTAACAGACCCATAACCTCTGGCTGAGTTACTGAAGCCCTCAAATTTTGATGCGAAGACTTCAAATTACAGAAAATCCACCATTTACACTAGTTTAAACCTGCAAATGACCTGTGCCCCATGCTGCAGAGGAAGGTGAAAACCCTCCAAGGTCTCTGCCAATCTGATCTGGAGGAAAATTCCTTCCCCACTCCAAGTATAGCAAATTGTTAAGACCCCAAACATGTAAACAAGACCCACTCACCAGACACCTGGGAAAGAATTTTCTGTAGTAACCCAGAACCCTCCCCCTCTAGTGTCCCATCTCTGGCCATTGGACATATTTGCTAATAGCAGACATGGATGGATGGGCCATCTGCCACAGTAGCAATCTCACCATACCATCCCCTTCATAAACTTATCAAGCTGAATCTTGAAACAAATTAGTTTTTTTGTCCCGAGTACTCCCCTGGGAAGGCTGTTCTAGAACTTCACTCCTCTGATAGCTAGAAACCTTCATCTAATTTCAAGCCTAAACTTGCTGATGGCCAGTTTATAGCCATTTGTTCTTGTGCCAGCATTGATCCTTAACTTAAGTACCTCCTCTCCCTCCCTGGTGTTTCTCCTTCTGATATATTTGTAGAGAGCAGTCATATCTCCCCTCAGCCTTCATTTTGTTAGGCTAGACAAGCTAAGCTCCTTAAGTCTCCTTTTGTAAGGCAGGTTCTCCATTTCTCTGATTATCCCAGTAGCCCAATTAGTTCCCTCTCTATTCCTATGCTTCCTCTTCTTCTGAGCATGGACTTTGGAGAGATCCCAAGGGCACTCAGATCCATCAGAATTCTCAGTAACTCAACTCAAGTGAATAATCAAAAATCTCACTTGCCGGAACATCTCATATTGTTCCCTGCTGGATCTGAGGACTTAGGCTTACTCCAGAAGATCCTTTTGGCATTGTGTAACTAACACCCAGAGCACCTCCCACCCCAATAGAAAAAATCTACTCAGTTCCGAGAACGACCAAGGCCTCCTTCATAAAGATGGTTTTGAGGCTGTGGTCTGTTCTCACTCAGGTCTTGATGAGAAAGATACAGGGGCAGTACCCTCTGATGAGTGCTCTCTTCTTTCCAAACACTTAAGGTTTGGGAATGATGGTACAAAATTAAAATCACTGCAGAGCAAAAAGAACACCTCAAAAAACCTTTAGGGGCAGTCATACAGGGTTTTACGATATCAAGGTACCTGTTCCAGAACAATCTGCGGGGCAGAATAAAAAGCAAAGCCCTCTCCAATAAGATCACATATGACATAGTCAGTGACTGCTACTTTCTAATCATACTCCTTTAGTCATGCAGAAGGGAGAATTCTATCTGATTGAGTGAGTAGCTGAAGTGACAGGAGCTGAATTCAGGATAGTGTCTTGTGAGCTTTACTAGTGTGATTAAAAAGGGTGCCCTGTGTCTGTAGTCTGCCTAGAGAAATTTAATCCTGGAAGCAAGTTCTAAAAGGAGCTAGTGCACAGATTTTAGTTACAATGTTAGGACTGACGATCCCAGTTGCTTCTAAGTCTGAGCATGTATTGTGTGAACAGCACTAGGAAGTGCTGAAGACGAGGAGATTTTTGTTCAGATTGTAAAAGACTACACCGTAACTTCTCCTCTAACTTAGCCAGCTCAATGGAAGAGTCAGAGATCCAATTTCTTATCCACAGAGCTAGCAGAAACCAGTTGTAATTGTTCTGAATACAAGGCAAGAGACATAAAGAGTGATGCGGCTAGTATTTATGAGGACTGTTTAACTCTAGTATCAGTGTGATGTAATGTGTATGTGCACGTCACTTATTTGTTCACCTCAGAGGTGAAAGTAAAGCCGAAGACTTATCAGTACGGTGGCTGGGGAGGGAGAGGGGGGGCAAAAGGGGCAACAATGTTAAAGCCGCGGCAGCGCTTTAAGCAGGGCTGCCGACGGGGGGGTGCAAAAGGGGCAGCTGGATACAAGCCGGTACTGGCCCATACCGGCTTACTGTCACCCCTGGTTCACCTTGGCCTGATGCTGTGAGTCCAAGGTGGATTTGAGCTTCACATTTTAGTGTCTTTTGTGAACATGAAATTAATGAGTAGTTCAAAAGAAAAGGATGCAATACCTTGTTCCGAATTCAATGTGTGTGTCTACAAACATCAAGAAGAATCATAGCACTGGCATGCAGAGAACTGGGACAGTGTGCACAAGAGATTATTCTTGCTAGCTGTGAGATTTCTGGGCCTGCTGCCCCCTTAAAAATCTAAAGCTTCTGAGCAGCACTACAGCTGTTCTCTCACTATCTTAGTCAATACATGCATAGACATAATGAAATTGTGAAAAATATATCCTCACAAGCATGCGTGTGCGTACACAGAAATAGAGATACATTTTTCTTCTTTTAATGACTTTCTGTCTAATATTAGGGCTGCCTACTCCCCTTTTCAGGCTTATGAAGTCTTGCTCTATACCACCCAGAGAATAGCCTTCTTCTCCTCCCTACTTTTCTCAGCTTGTTCTTCTTTCCCAATATGACAGGGCTGCTGCACAAACAGCAAAAAGACTGGAAATCTACAGGAACAGTCTCTCTCTCTGGGGGTTGTGTGGGGAGGAAAGAGTGTGTTCCAGTATGTTCCTGGTTTTGACTTACTCAGAAGACTTGAAAAACAGCTTTTTCTCTGTGAAATTTCCAGTGGCCAACATTTTATAATTATCATCATCATTATTAAATAAAAGGGGTTAGCTAAATGACCTGAACTTCCGAGGAGTCCATCAAGTTTCAGTCTGATGGGTAGGTGAATATCTGAATCAGGATTTATTTATTTAATTCTATCCTAAGCTGTTCATATGCCCAGTTACAAAAGCACTAACCAAATCTGTCATAACTGACTGGCTTTGAACCCATCAAGGATTAGCTAGGAGATCCTCCAAGACTAGGCTGAGGGACAACAGCAACTTCTAGTTCAAAACGTTCTTTCAATTCTCATAAACAAACACAGAATCATTTCAAACAGTGGTTAATAAAAAACTTCCACTAGAACACACAGTAAATGATTTTTTATTTCACACTGCACAAGAGCCATTGAGTCATTTAGAGCCTGTTAATAAGGAACGGCAGAAAATTCAACTTCTCTAAACACCACTCTTATCTGAATAGCGGGCTTATGTTAGTTTTAGTTTCTATTAAATACTTATTGCAACTGTTCAATATAAACAGTAAGGCATATTACTACTCTTATATGAATTGAGATGCATTCCAACCAAGGAGCAGGGCCCCGTTGAGGTACTTTGCTAACTGCCTGTTGCAAAGGCAATTATTATTTTTAGGCAAAAAAACCTAGAGATCCGCTTTGCTTACCTACTGTCACCAGCATTTGCCACGTAGAGCTTCCCCAGCATATACACAACAACAAGGGCTGTGCAGCCACCAGATATACTGTAAACAGTCCTCTCTCGTTCGATTTGTAAATCCTAAGGAAGACAGAAGAGAGTTTATAAACTAGCTCTGCAATTGGCATTTAGGAAGAGAAGATTTTCATTAAAACCTTACATATTCGTATTCCTAAACCAAAAGTCCTGCTGAGTTTGTTTACTTGTTGCTGCCACAACTGTATATTCAGGGAAACAAATGGAACATCAAAGAGCAATGCACATGGGCCCAATCCTGTTTGTTCCATGGATAAAGTAACCTGGCTAATATCGTGCCAGGCACAGCAGAGCCAAGTGCAGTGCTACCCAAGGAGGCCATCCTCTGACTAATATTTGAATTACACTCTGGTTTCTGTTACATTCATGATTTCTGTTACTGCCTACAAATCAATGTTGAGGAAGAAAATCCAAAAGAAATCAGATCTTACAGTCTTTTGTCAGAGACATACACACATACATATACTAAAAATACCTATTTTATATCATCTTTGCCATAGACAAGTTTTAAGTTGATATCCCCCCGCCTATGAATTTTTACATTTTTAGCAAGCTACAGAGTATTTCAAAGGAAGCAGAAATTTTTAACCATCAAAATAATTTCAACCCATAAAGTGGATTTTCAAGGCATTTCCAAGTATGTTAAAACGGTTTTATTCCCTGGCTTTTTATAATGATCCTTTTAAAATCTGAAATCAATGTCTGTTTCCTTACCCATTTTCAGTGTGGCGTGCATATGCTTTGGGACTGTAAGGATGACGGCATTTATGTTTTATTTCGTTTTAATAAGATGACTTCAAAAGTATTTGTTATGATGCAAAAGAGGGATTACTACAATGAGCCTGATTTTTCAGAGAGTATGTCTACACTACAAAATTATGTTGACATAAGTTATGTCGATGTATAGACACCACAGTAATTAAAATCACTTTTGCGTGTCCACACTCCTTGTGTCAGCAGTGCACCTCCGCACTACCTGCATCGATATAAGTGCTGAGAGCAGTGCACCCGTGCATAGCTATCCCACTGTGCAACCTGCCACCACCTAGTGCAGGGTGTTTTGGGAAGGGTTTGCAATGACTCATGGGGGCAAACAAGTTGCACAGGGGTGCCTGGGAACATGATTTCAACATTCCATAATGCAGTTTTCTCCATCGCATAATGTTTCCCGCCTCTTTTCTAAAGCCCCATAAACCTGTGTGCATGCCATCTGAGTGAGGAGAAGCATGTATCCTGCACAGCTCTTTACTACGAGGAGTGTTGCAAGTAAGGGACGTCTGATCCTGCAGTATTTGCAGTGTCACCAGAGGAGCCGTGGGGGACATGACGATTCCTTAGAGGCTAGATTGCTGTGGGACACAGGAAAAAATAATTCAAGGTTGTTGGCTGTGTTCACAGAGCAGCTGAAGATGGTGGAGCACCGGTTCTGGGCCTAAGAAACAGGCACTGACTGGTGGAATCACATTGTCATGCAGGTTTAGGATGACAAAACGTGGCTGCAAAACTGTTGGATGTGCAAGGCCACGTTTCTGGATCTGCGTGCAGAGCTTTCGCCTGCCCTCCGGCTCAGCGACACCATAACGAGAGCTGCACTGACGGTGGAGAAGCGAGATGGCGATCACTGTGTGGAAGTTTATAACACCCGATTGCTACCAATCAGTCAGGAATCAACTGGAGTTGGGAAAACCACCGTGAGGGTTGCTGTGATGCAAGTGTCCAAGGCCATTAATCACATCTCGCTACAAAGGACTGACACTCTGGGCAACATAGAGGACATAGTGAATGGTTTTGCAGTAATGGGGTTCCCGTACTGCGATGGGGCAGTAGATGGCACACACATCCCTATTTTGGCACCAGACCACCTTGCCAGAGAGTGCACCGACAGAAAGGGCTACTTTTGTGTGGTACTGGAAGCAGTGGTGGATCACTGGGGACATTTTACCAACATCAACGTGGGCTGCTCAGGGAAGGTGCATGACACATGCATCTTTAAGAACACAGGCCTGTTCAGAAAGTTGCAAGCAGGGACTTTCTTTCCAGACCAGAGGACTATCACTACAGATGTTGAAATGCCAACAGTGATCCCTTACTCCTGTGGCTCACGAAGCCCTGGACAGCTGCAAGGGAGCGCTTTAACTACAGGCTCAGCAGGTGTAGAATGACAGTTGAATGTGCCTTTGGCTGTTTGACAGGCCGCTGGCACTGTCTACTCTTGAGATTAGACTTCAGTGAAAAAAATATCCCAATGGTTATAGCTGGCTGCTGTGTCCTTCATAATATTTGTGAAACAAAGGGAGAGAAGTTTCTGCCTTAGTGAAGTGGCTGTCTGGTGATTTTGAGCAGCCAGATACCAGAGCTATAAGAAGAGCTCAATGTGGAGCTATACAGCTCATGGAGGCTTTGAAATACCATTTTAATAGCGAGCCACGGTTGTGTGTGTGCTGTTTTAACGTACTCTGCCTTGCATTGCTTTTTGGCACCCCAGTATGAACCTTGTAATGAGTGCCGTGTGTGTAGCAATATAACATTGCATATGCAGCTATTGCTATTAACTGTGAATGATGTCAGCCCCAACCAGCATATGCTGTAAATTAATAAAGATGAATTAAGTTTCCATAAATAGACTTTTATTACAATCCCATGCAAACAGACATGTTTATAATTGAATTAAACTTTATAAATACAGGGGAAAGAACTGTTGAAGGAGAAAGAACAGTCATTTCCATTTCACAAACACGTACACCAACCATGTCTCTCACAGGTCAGTGCACGTGCTGCTATGATTGCCTGCACTCTCCCCCAGGGTGAAGTGGTAGGCATAGTGCAGTGACCCCGGATGCCACATGGAATGCAGTTCTCTATGTGCTGCAGAGGGAGGTGAGCATGGAACTGTAGAACCTGAATGTCCACAAGAGTCTACAGCATGTCTGTTTGCTGCTTGAAAAGTGCTAGCATCTGCTGCTGCGTGTCCCTCTCTGCTCTCTTTTCCACTCTATCCCCATCCATGCTGTCTGCGAGGGTATCGAAAGCAGCAGAGGCTTGCAGGATCTCTTGGAACATGCCATCCTGCGTCCTCTTCCTTCTCCTTATCTGGCTGCGCCACTCTGCTGGTGCGGATGCAGAGATCCTCAAGGCCACATTTCCAGCTGCAAAAGATACCATGCACAGAGGTACTATTGTGAGTGTATTCACAAGATAAATTGAAACTTGGTATACTGCATTCACTCCCTTTTATCCACACAAGTTGTAAGCACTACATTCTCCCTTCTCTTTGGGATTCATAAAGCAGAGCGGCAGTCCCAGGGATGGTGAGGGAGGGTGGCTACGTTGGGAAAATAAGCGGCGGGGATAGTTCACAGGCATGAGTATATGCGTATAGGACAACTGAGTTGAATACTGGCACTGTTTTCCACAGGTGATGGGGATTTTAGCTGAACTTACACTGCTGAGGGTAACAGCGGGTGAAAGGGAATAGCTCCTGCAGGCATCCGGCTGTAGATCGGGGACATATGCTGCTAGCCTGCACGCTGCAATGGTGCCTGCTGAAATAATTGTTGAGTGGTTTGGGAAAGTGTCCTACCACGGCAGGAGAAATAAGGCAGCCCTCCCCAGAAACCTTTGGCAGAGGATTGCAGACTGCCTTCACAAAAGTTTCCTTGAGATCTCTATGAAGGATTCATGGGACAACCTGGTACACACAAAAACTATTCTGCAGGACCCCCTCAGCAGCTCTACTTCCCCTCTACAGTTAGACAATCTGCTTCTCACTCTACTGGTGATTTCACTACCTCTTCTAGCATAAGTTAAAAAAAAAAAAAAAAAAAAAGAGTAAATGAACAGATGTGTCCCTGCAATATCAAAGCAAATTGTATACTTACCAGAGGTTCCTTCCCTTGTATCAGGCTCACCTGTGCTGGACTGTAGGGACTGCCCAGGAGCCAAAAAACAGGTCCTGGCTTGCTGTGCCACTGGATCCCCCGGTCGCCTGTCCCCCATACTCCTCCTCCTCACTGTTCACAGCTGGGGCCTGTGACTTGGGCTTCCTGAAGTATCCATGGTTCTCTTGGGGGTGGGGTGGTGTCTCCACCAAGGATGGCATGCAGATTTTTGTAAAAGTGGCCGGTCTGTGGCTCTGCACCAGAATGACTGTTAGCCTCCCTGGCTTTCTGGTACGCCTGTCGCAGCTCCTTGGCTTTCACATGGTACTGCTCTGGGTCCCTCTTATAGCCCTTCTCCCCCATGCCCCGAGTGATCTGCTTGTAAATAATGATGTTTCTACAGCTGGATTAGAGCTGTGCCTGCACAGCCTCTTCTCCACACAGATCCATCACCTCCTGTGTACTCCAGGCAGAAGCGCGTCTGCAGCGTGTAGCCAGTATGGTCAGCTGGGCAGTTGCTAGGTGACCTCTCCATGCCAAGCAACCAGGAAATGAAATTTCAAAAATTCATGGGGCTTTAAAGGGGAGAGAAGTGTACCTGTGTACCTGGCCGGTGGGCAGCGGAGTTCAAAACAGTGACCAAAGTGGTCATGCTGAGGCATTGGAGGACACCTCCTGGAAGCCACTAAAGTTGATGTATGTAATGCAGTGTCTACACTGACACTGCACTGAGCGAATTATACCAACTTAAGCACTACACCTCTCACGGAGGTGGAGTTAAGTGAGCGCAGCGCGCAAGTTACATCGGTGGGAGAGACATTTTAGTGTAGACACTCAGAGATAGGTCTATGTAAGCTGCCTTGCATTGACCAGGGCTGAGAATCTGGCCCTTAATAGTTTCATAGATTCCAAGACCAGAAGGGATCACTCTAGACTGACCTCCTACATAACAGGCCATAGAACTTCCCTGAATTAATGCCTGTTTGAGAATCTCTTTCAGAAAAATATCCAATGCATGGGATGGAGAATCTACCACAACTCTTGGTAAATTGTTCCAAGAGTTAATTATCCTCACTGTTAAAAAATGTACACGTTATTTCCCATCTGAATTTGTTTAGCTTCCGCCATTGAATTGTTATACCTTTCTTTGCTAGATTGAAGAGCCTG